CTGCCCAGGAGATTGTGGTGTAGATATGATGGTCTTCTGTGCAACTAAAATGTCTGGAATTGCTTGAGAGACCATGGAACATGCGACTGCCCAAGAATAACAGGCAGGTCTTAGTAATAACTTCTGCCTCTCGTGTGAAATAGTGACAGTTTTTGTTGCAAAGGAGTGTGGGAACCAAAGGCCAGGTTCTGTAGAAATCTAGACATGAGGCTGCAAATACTGCGACCAAAGTTTGCCATTCAGTTGACTTTGTGGACAAGAAGAACTGATAGATGGACGGGGACTTTAGAGTTGCCTTTACCAGATGAGCTCAGAAGTATCCCATTAGTCATCTTGCATATGGAGCTTCTATGTGTAAGTCCTCTTTTTTTCCCCTAATAATTTAGGGAATCTAGAAAGACTTGAAACAGGCTTTGAAACTTCAAGTCTATCAAGATTAAGGATGTCTGTTGATTAAAGTATCTGCTCTGTTGTTGCTCAGGAAAAAAAATAGTGCTTAAGCAAGGCAGGGCTTCCTTGTCCCAAGCTTTGTTGTTCTGTGGAGACTATCTGCTAGGATCTAGCACTAGCATCAAGCGAACCACTCTGCTGTGGCTAGGAGTCTGCAGTTTTGTATTAGATATTATCTTGTGTCTTTGTAATCTTGTTTCCAGTAGTGTAATACATTTATTCTATCAAGATAAGAGTTGATAATATTTTTAAAGTGTGTCTGTCAGTGAGCGATCTTAATGCAAGCTGCTGTTCTCTAAGAAAAGCGCGTCTGTCTAGCGGACCAGCACGTTCTCAAGATGCTTACCATGCAACATGACTGTATGTTACACCACATTGAAAGTTTTTGGCAGGAATCTGGTAATACTACTTACTAGTCCAATGGAAGGTAATATTTTTATGATTTTTTGGTCATTCCTTCAGAAGTAGTAGGAGGAATGAGGAAACAGCACACAAGTTGGAATATGGCTTGCATATAGTGCACGCTCTAGTTTGTAATATCTTCTTTCACCCTTTAAGCTTCTAGGCTTTCTCAGCTTTGTTTACCAGGGTCCTCAGATACTATGCAGAATGTTTCACATCGCAGTTTTGTATCAGTTCTGCCTTGTGCAGACTAACTGAAGGGAAGAGAGCATGCTGCTTTGTGCTGCTTCTGCAGCACTTCGTGTTGAGTGACTCAGCAGTGACAGTGTGGAACTGGTTGTTACTATTGGGAAAACCTTGATCGTATCAGTTTGTTCCCTTTCTTCCTTACGTATCTCCTCTTCCTTTAGTCTGATTTTTCTTTTTTAATGAGCCTCTTCTAGGATTTTTTTTTTAATAAATCCAAGGAATTGGGGACAAGAGTTTGATCTACATTTGGAATCAAGAGGAGAACTAGGAAGAATTTAGATTAGTTTGCCAACAATATTTTTCCTAATTTTGCTACTTTTCTTCTGAATTATGTATGTAAAAGTTAGTGATGTCTCCACTACATTCTCACTGTTTGGTCTAAGATAAATTCCTTTGGGATAATGGGTTGTGCTTGCTCCTGTTGGTGTTCACTCTATGGTGGCGAGTTCTGTGTCATGTAGAGAAGGATGTTATGGTGTGTCTTGTACTCATTAAGGCAAAGTTAGGATGCTGAGAGTTAGGGTGCATAAAGCATATTAGCACATGTTCTTGGCTCTTGTTCAATAATATTGATGTTTCCTCTTGTAATTGCTCAAAGTTCAGATTATTGTATGCATCACTTGATAGCTCTTGTTTAGAGACTCAGGTATTGTGTTCTTCTCTTGCAGGCCGGACCCAGGGTCTAGTCAGATCAGATTGTGCTTGCAGGTTTTGAAAGCTGTCCAGAAACTGGCTCGAGAATCGACAATTATGGCAAGAGAAACCTGGGAGGTTTTATTATTATTTCTTCTTCAGATCAATGACACTCTTCTAGCAGCTCCAACTGTGCAAGGTTCATGTTCAACTTCCATTTAGTTCAATTACTGGAAAAACCTTTGGCTCTACTTGATGTTGATCTGCCGGGGCGGGATGGGGGAAGGGGTGGAACCTGTTAAAAGCTCTTAGTCATCAAAGCACAGTAGTTCACTCCTAATTCTGCTACACTACTCTGAAATAAAGCATTGTCAGAAATGGATGGTTTGAAGCTGAGTTTTCCTAAACGTATTTTTGCAGAACAGTGACTCTGTACAGGAACAGTCCATGGTGAAGGGCTTGAGGCAGTGTTGTTCCCTATTTGTTTCACTGAAACCCCTATGTGTATTGCTGTTTGGCCTGCCTACTGGAAAATAATATTGTCAGTTTATTCCTATTTGTTAAAAAAAAGACATCCATATAGATGAGTGCAATAGAAGACAGCCTAAGACCAGTGAATTCCTGAATTCCTGGTGTCCTTTAGTGACACACTTATGTGGCTGGGCTTTATATGTAGTGTTTGGTCTTGTAAAAAGGCTGATTGGCTGTAGGAAGCAATCAGGAGTCGCTCTTAATCAAAAAATGATGAAAAAAATGAATTTAAGAATCTTTATCGACTTAAACTGGAATCTCCTTGGGGAGATAATTGAAGTTATTTAGATTGAATACTCACTAAAGGCATGCTTTGTTTCTGTTATAAGGTGGCATTGCTGAGAATCTGGCTGAAAAATTAATTGGCGTGCTGTTTGAGGTGTGGTTACTGGCTTGTACGCGGTGCTTTCCAACACCACCTTACTGGAAAACTGCCAAAGAGATGGTGGCCAACTGGCGACATCACCCTGCAGTAGTTGAACAGTGGAGCAAGGTCATCTGTGCCCTCACTTCCAGGTAGGAGAAATCTCATGGAAATAATAAACACACGTGTACGGGGACAGTCATGGTTATACATGTTTTTCTCTGGAGTTGCTTATTTGTGGAATGCACAGCAATCCAAAAGTGAGAGATCTTGCTGGTATCCTTGCCTTCTACTGTTTGTGTGTGGGTCCTTGTTCTGCAAGTGAAGATCTGAATTGGATCGTCTCTGCTGTTGTGTAATCTCAGCATCTCTGTGATATGTAGCACTTTGTGGTATGTGTATATTGGTCTCTATCACTGTGACTCTTCACCATGTTCTGTGAAGAATGAGTCATGAATATTAGTGCAGCATTATAGTCTGTATGTTTAATGGCAGTCACCATCAAAATTGTGAGGTGCTGTTGCTACTGCATGGTGCTGTGTTTGGGGTGACTCTTGGGCTCTGCCTGCCCTGCCCTGTGGAGCTGAACTGTGCTGTAGCTGCCTGGTGCTTGTGCCCTGGCAGCAGGGATGCGATGGCCCAGAGGCAGGCTGCAGGCTCCCTTCTGAGCGGAGGCACCCTCCTCTGGAGGGTATGGGAGGAGAGCTGTACCGAGCCTTGCTGGGTGTGGGAACAGTGAGGATCCGTGGGCTGTGGGAGACGTTAGGCTGCAGTAGAAGGCCCTGAACAGTGAGGGGGAGTCTCAGTACTCTTAATGCTGGGGTCTTTGTGGTATGGGGTCTTTGTGGGACAAATCTCAGCCTCTTGGTGGAAAGAACTAAATGAATTGGTGAGGAGCAGGGTTTGGGTCTCCTCCTCCTAGCTCTCCTGAGATGTCAATAACCATTTCTATGAAAGTTGAAAGATGTCTTAAAATCACTGCACTGTGAAAAATTCAATAATATGCTTTTCTGCAAGGATTTATTTTAACTCTGAAAACTTTACCTTTTGAATTACCTGAATTCCAAGCATGGATATTTTTTTTTCTTCCAGGTTGTGCAGCTACTTGGTAAACCTGTGGGAAACAAAGCCACAATACAAGTTGTGTGTATTTCCCACACTATTTCTTTAGCTATTTTTAGCCATTAGATGTAGCGTTGCATAACAGAAAATATTTTATGATTCACTGATCTGAAAAGAACAGCTCTGCCTCGAAACATGCATTGGTGTTCTGCTCTGTGCACTATGCCCACGTGTTATCTTCCACTGTTGACTAACAGTCTTAGCTCTGATGCATACTAATCTGCAGGTTTTCTGTAATGTTTCAGTCTGCTGTTTAGTAATGCTGGTTTGCGCCTAATACATGGAAAGTTAACCTCCTCAGTGGTATTTTAAGCTGCACTTCTAATACTTCAGGGAAGCTCTAGCTTCAAACAGTTTAAGTGTTGTTTTAGTAAACAGTTTTATGAGTTTGGTCATTAGCAGTAAGCTGAGAGTAAACGACTTAAAACCATATGGAAACTTATATTTGGAAATCCGTACACATGGGCAGTGGTACTGTGTATCCTTGGCTGTGACTTCATAGCAGGATGAAACTGGTCTTAGTTGTGTTGCCGTACCGATAGATACTCCTTTTACCCATCTAGGGTGCTTTGGGTCTATTTTAACTGTCTTGGATGTGTGGATTACAATTTATTTCTGTTTTCAGTCATTCTTGAAAATGTCCCAGATTTCAGTTAAGATTCGGCTGTACTCCCTGAAAAACTGATTTCTTGCAGCTCCCAAGGGGAGGATTGTGAAGCAGTGCAGCCTACTGCAGAACAGACATGGGGCACAACTCTGCATGGGGTGTGCCAGGCTCTTCTGGGTTTGGCGGAGCTCGGTAATTCCTCAGCAAAGCCTGCTGTGGGGTGGTGCCTTTGGGGCACTAACTGTAGATGGCTGCCGGGGCATTAGTGTGGCATCCTGGAAAGCAGTTCCTGCCTCACAGGTGTGGGTGTTTCTGGCTTGATCCTGGAGGAAGGCCTTGTGTCCTAAAGGTCACTGGCTGTTCCATCCAAGCTAGTTCCTGTGACAGGCTGTGGTGCCAGGCACACTTGAAGGGTATTTTGCATTAGTTCACTGCAAGTTACTGCAGTGCCCAGTGGAAGATTTAACTCTTGGTTTAGGAGTCAGCTGTAGACTTTGGCTTTCCTCCCCTTTCTCCTAGTTGTAATAACTTTATCTCTTTAAAACTGTATGGCTCTATAAGTGAGCAATGATGAATGGAACATTTCTTGTCCTTTAAAGCAACTTAAAGCTTAGAAATAAGGGTGTGATAACTGAAGCAAGAAATGACACTGGAAGTGAGTTTAACTCAGGCAAAGACAAAACCCGGTTTCTGTGAATGCTAGGATATTGAGAAGGTGCATCTCAGATCTCTTTCATGCTTTTAGAGAACAAGGTTATGTTGATTTGGGAAATTGATCCATAAGTTTGCAAAGCTGGAGATGAAGGGGTCAAATCAGACGGCGTGGGCTCAGTGCAGCTTATTGGTGACTGGTCAGTCATAGCACTTCTAGAGAAAGATCTCAGTTTATCTAAGCCGTTATCCTCATGATGCTGCATTGCTGTGAAGCCCTCTGTGAGTTTGCTCTTCAGTGCAACTCCCAGCTTCTGCAAAACATAGTGTATTTTTCTTGAGGAGCTTGCTGCTCTCTGGATTGCAAATCCTGTGCTGCTTGCAGGATGCCATTGAGTGTTGCTCAGTGTGCTGTAACGTGGAATATAGATCTGGAACCTAGCGTGGCTTGCTGGTGTTGCTGGAAACTTCACCTAAAGAGCCTTGATGATAAGGGCTTAAAGTGTTTCCCCCCTACCCCTCTCCCTTGTGTGACATCTTGTCAGTTCTGTATGTGCTGATGTTAATGAGTAACCCCCCGGCTAAACAGATGGGCGGGCTGCTGTGGGGTGTGATGCCCTAACAGCTCTTTGGTTTGGTTGGACCTTTGGGCAGGCTCCAAGGCGTGTACCCCTCAAAGCTTTGAGGACTGAAGGATTGTATAAAATGGGGATCTCAAGGAGAACTGGGGATGTTGTGTTGTTGCTTGTGGGCTCATCTGTGGACTGCTGATTCCTTTGGAGCTCAGATGCGCTGTTAAATTTTTGAGGATTGTGAACTGAATGACAGATCTGTCTGACTTGCTTTCTAGATTGCTGCGTTTTACATATGGACCTTCATTTCCTCCATTTAAAATTCCCGATGAAGATGCTGGTCTGATTCCTCCTGAAATGGATAATGAGTGTGTTGCACAAACTTGGTTTCGCTTTTTACATATGCTGAGGTATTGTAATTACAGCCAGCCATTGTTTGTATTCTTGCATTAGTTCTATACATTTGCATGACAAATGAGAAATTTCTCTGGAGATTGCCAAGATTAAGCACCTAAATAAAGTGCAAGAGACTTGTACTAGTGCCCTGCAGCAGTTCAGGGCGAGGTTGCAAGTGGGTTGTTCAACTTGGACTCTTTCACAATGTAAACTGGTTCATTGAATTAAAAGGTTTGTAACTATTTGGCATTTTGGAGTGTCTGAAAAACAAGATTTTGGTACAATTTTGTTTCTCTGAGGTAGCAAACAGGAAAAGCAGAACAATAGCTCCAAGAGATGTGTACTGCTTCCCTTTTTTTCTTCAGAGTGTTGGATTTAACTTGCAACAGATTGTTTTTAAAATGGATGCCTCTCTTTGTTTTTGTGAAGAAAGCTATACAGTTAATTTTAACATCCATGTTGTTCTTCCTTAAATACACAACATGACCAAGTGGCATGCTTGGTTTTAAAGATTCTTGGGAATGGCATTGCATTAATGTTCTGAATGGCCAGAATATTAAACTTTTAATATAAAATGTTATTTACTAGTTAAAACTAAAGGTAAATGTTAGACTGTTTAAAATCTACTTATTAACTAACTAACTTAAATCTATTCTTTCTTCACTTGTGATAGTAATGTAAGGTGTACTGTACTCTTCAAATTTGGAATTGCTGTTACAGGATTTGTATCAGTCAGGAAAAAATTGCTCAAACTTTTACAACCCACTCTTTCTTGTCACTGTTTGCTGGCAATATTTAATTCATTGCTTACCTTTTAAGAATAATTTTAACAATGTAAGGACCTCTTAAACTGGATTTAAAAGACCTTGTAAGTAATTAATATTACTGCAATAGTGGGATTATTCTATCAAGCATGTGTTCTGGTTCATTGGATCTTAATAAAATTATTCAATGTAGTTAGGTAGTTTTTGAAATGAAGACAATTAAGTATGGCCAACCCAGGAAGTGAAAATTGACTTGCTGTGGTGGAGTAACAGCTAAAAATATATTGATATTGGATGCTGTTTTGTGTTAATTAAATGCCTTAAGCTATTGTATCTTTAAGTATTTAAAAATCCTAACAGATGTTCTTAAAATATATTGTGCTCTTTTTGTGTGCAGTAATCCTGTGGATTTGAGTAACCCAGCCATTATTAGCTCTACCCCCAAATTTCAGGAGCAGTTTCTGAATGTGAGTGGGATGACTCAAGAACTGAATCAGTACCCCTGCCTTAAACATCTGCCTCAGATATTCTTTCGTGCCATGCGTGGAATCAGCTGTTTAGTGGATGCATTCCTAGGTAATGCTTTTGTCTTGCCTGCGGATAGCTAGGAATAGTAACTTAATAATTATTTTATGATTTTATTCTATCATCTTTAAATCTCTTCTCCATAAATACAGCCATAAAAATTTGACATTTGCAAGTATATCCTGGAATTGATAGGGAAGGGACCTTGGGTTGCTTTTAAGTGACCATCTGTATACACAATAATATTTGAATGCAGAGCAATTGTAGATGGCTTTAGTTTCAAATGCAAAACAACTAAATCTGAAGTCTAAAATAAAACCAGACATCTCTTCCCCAAACAAGGCTTCTTTTTATTTTTGTCTAATCAACAATGTTTTTAGCATGTTGTGAGCACTGACCACTTAAAACTTTATAAACTTTGGGGCAACAGCTGTGTGCGGTGCCTGTTTTTGTGAAGTACCAGATTTTGACTGTCATCCAGATCTTTATACTATGAGTGCCAGTTTCACTTAGTTTATGATTAGTGTGTGAGTGGTGCAAACTGGGCCCATGCCAACCTCATGAAGTTCAACAAGGCCAAGTGCAAGGTCCTGCGCATGGGTCAGGGCAATCCCAAGCACAAATACAGGCTGGGAGGAGAATGGATGGAGAGCAGCCCCGAGGAGAAGGACTTGGGGGTGCTGGGGAATGAGAAGCTGAATATGAGCCGGCAGTGTGCGCTTGCAGCCCAGAAACCACCC